ATAGCACCCCTGTGTTCCGGGCTGGGGTCGGCGTGGTAACCCGGCCCTTTTGAAAGCCCGGCGTCGTCGGGGTGGTCCTAATTGCCGGGATCGCCCCCATTCTCCGAGGGAGTAACCGATCTATTTTTTTATCCTATGTAATAACTTGTAGTATCACGAATCTGTTTTTAATAAAATTTTTGAATTTTTGAAAAATATTTCTATTTGGTTTTTCTTTTCAACTAGTTACTGGAGGAATAAATTGAAATTTTTAACAATTCCGAGTAGTTGTAGCAACGAATGTCATTTCTGAAGAAATTTTTAAAATTTACATCAGTTATTTGTCACATAAATTGGCCAAAAAGTTTATTTGGATAAGTCATTCTAATCATGAATCTCTTTTTAACATTTACATTGATTGTCCGGCAGAGAGATTGAAAACAGAAAAAAAATATCTGGCTAAGGAGGAAACATCATCTAATAACTACCTAAGTATTATATAAAAATGAGCGATTTAATTATAAAGTAAGTAATGCTATTATTGATATTTTTCTTATAATTAATAATGAATATTAAATTTATCTTTAAAAATAGCATATATTAATTTTACTGACATACGCATGTACAAAGTAGTAAACAATACAAGCGCATCTCACTCGCACTCACATATATATACTACCTCGCGCTCGTTTCTACAGCGACCCTACATACTTGTCTGGCAAGGGGTTGGAACTATCAAAAATGTCTGGCTATTGAGAAAATATCATCTACTCATTACCCAAGTATCCTGTATAAAAATCAGCTTTTATACTATAACGTAAGTAGAATTATTATACCCTGAACATTAAGGGTGTCTGGCAAGGGGTTACCACGATGTTAAGTGTCTGGTAATGAATAATGTGATTTTTAATAACATTCTAAAGGTAATACCAAAAAATCGCTCTGTATAATTTGACGAAACTATATTAGTATTTTACACACCTTTAGTACCGTTTACCTGCCAAAGCCACTACAACCCGAATTTCATAATGGACCTTCGTTCTTACCTGTGTTGGGAGCATGCGCTGACAAACTTTCAGCTTTTATAAAATAACGAAGGTCTGGGGTTCACGGGCTCTTAGACTATATACGTAGTGAACAGAATTTTTAGCTAATTTTGTTTACTTAATTGTTTTTGAAAGTTTAAAATATCAGCGTGAATATGTTTAAAATTTCTTTAGTAATGAAAGTCTAAAATCGATGTTTTAGATCGAATATATATGTTTATAAACTAATGTATCCAAAATTTAATATAATTTTTTTATTAATACTAAAAAAAAAATATCAAAGATTTACGTTTAAGATAAAATTAATTTACTTAAAACTAGCATTATTATGTATTGATATAAATAATATATATTTCTTTATAAATAATATTAAATATATTAAAAAATCCTTATTATATAAAAATATCAGTCACTACTAAGCTTTCGACTTGCAAAACTTTAAGTCACGTTGGAAGCCATGATGGCTAAACGATGAAACGTGGACATTTATAAAAAAAAATATATGTATTACGACATTAATAACTAATTAATAATTAATATATTAAAAAAATATATTTTTACACAAACTTCAAAAAATAATATTAATGAATTAAGAAGAAGTATATATATATATATATATGTGTATATACGATTTTGAGATATACATAATCGAATTTTTGTTTTATTGTATATAATATTTATTATATACTACGAGAATATGACTGAAAGAATAGACAAAAAGATTACTATAACTATTAATATCCAAGAACATTAGTATATCAATGTTTAAAATTCTCTACACATATATACATATATATATAATATATAGGTCAATATTTTTTTAAATAAATTTTACATATAATTTATAGCACATATATTACAGGATTATTTCGATATTTTTTATAATATATACAGTATGATAATAAAAACAAAAAAAAAAACTTCATAAATAATAATATATCTCCAATATGACATTAAAACATAAGAACTCGAAGTATTTTGGGCAACAAAGGTATCCAAGTTTCTCTTTTGAGTCGACTTTCCAAGTGGTCCGCGTTATACAATACAACACCAAGTATTATTATTAATATACTAGCTGACCCGGCAGACTTCGTACTGCCTCAAACGATAAATATATATTTTTTATTTATATTTTTGGAGTATACCTTTAAGCCATAAATCTCCGTGTTTTGAAGTGCGACAGAATGAATGACATATTAGTTAGTTGTCAAATCTAATGTCAAAAAAACGTTTGTATGGGAAATAGAAAAGGGCTGTTTTTATGGTTTTCCCAGTAATGTAACAATTTTTTTCATCTTTTATACCTTCCCTGAACCTCCATGAACATTTCAAGACTAAGATAAGATAAATCCGTTCAGCTGTTCTCGAGTTTTAGCGAGACTAAGGAACTGCAATCCATTTTTATATATGTATATAGAAGATATATATATTATTTATTTTATATGTGACGTAACCTGACACAGATAGTGTCGACACAGCTACTTGCTTGCGACACTGATTGTGGTTAAAGTGGAAATCAACTGAATACTTAACCCGTAATTATTGTGTAGTTAGTTTATTACGGGAATACTACTGAAACTGTTTTGAGTAGAATTTACATGATATAGTAGTCAAGATTTTCGAAACTTCAATAAGTAGATATAATTGTGAAATATAGTTTAGAGTTTATAAGATTTTTCGTAAAAATCACATTCTAATATGAGCTTTGATAGCTGGCCATTAATTATCTAATACATATATGTACTTTATAAATAAAAATAATGTATGCCTCACTCAATAACCTTTTAGAATAAAATTTAGGTTAATTCATTAAGAAAAAAAATCTAATATAAATATATTTAAATTGTATATAGGTAAAATATAAAATTTAATATATACATATTTCTTACATAGTGTCATCCAAAATACAAAAGACACACAAAAAAAAGTGAAAGCTACACACACACACACACACACACAAACCGTACGCACACATTGATTCATCGTGAACAGATCCTTGTGAGGATAAGGCTGATCACATACAAAAAAATTGTGAAACATATATATATATTAAATTAATACATAACAAACAAAACTATTCCCAAAAGCTCATATTATAACAGCTCTAACTAAAACCAAACATAAAGAATTTTATCATTGAAATTATATAAAACATGTTAATAATAATTTATTTTTTTAATTATAAATAATGAATAAAAAAACATTGTTACGAAGTCGCAATTAGGTAATAGTGTTCAGGGAGCCTTATTTGAATCAGTGCTAATAGAGTTAATTTAGTTCGTATATGGATCTCATTAGTAAATTAGTGCTTTCACTGTATCTATAAATATACACATAACCAGACAATAAGACCTCTATATACATATATATAACAAGAAGACTAAGCTCAAACGTATTGTAGTTATAATGGTTACGATATAATTTAAAAAAAGAATACAAACAATTGCCTTCAAAATTAAATCATTTCAAATTGTCCTGTTATATATTTTTAATATTTTTTTCTATATCTAGAATGTTCTGTCACTATAAGGATCTCCTATAAGTATTAGGACAAAAGATAGACTTCAGAACTATAATGTTTTTGTTCCGTAAGCAAACGTGAAATAGTTAAAATCAACAATTCAATCGAAAGGCTGGAAGTAGGGCAGGCGAAATTTCGACAGAGCTCAGTATGAAATGAATCTTATTCAAAAGTAAATAAAGTCGAATATTCCATGCGACGGTTATAGCGAAAATGAAAGTTATGAAGCACGTTTTGCACAAACGAATCTGAATACGAGTTCTCGATTCCGTTCGCGGATTTTTTTTTTTTAAATTTTAAACATTGATGTAGGTCCGTTTTGATGTCAAGATTTGGTTACGTTAGGCTCTTTGTGTTTTAATTATTATACCAAAGAGGTTTTAATCTATCTCATAAAAATAATTTCTAAAATGGATTCTAACATTAAAACGAAATATTTGAAGCGAATTTTATAATTATGTCCGCTAATTGTTTGAACTGATTCGCCAAAATATAGTTCTATTGATAACATATCCCTGTCGAGAGGAAGTTGGAGGCTGTCAAGGCTGAGATAAATGCTCTAAAATATGATAAAATAAGAGAAAACGCGGAAGAGATTTTAAATAAAAAAAATCAACACTAGTTTCCAGACCAACGATTTGACATCAAAGTACCAGGACGTCATAAAATGGCGGGAGATTTGGATTATAAACATCCAGTATAACATTTAATGTATACGAAAATTTACTTTATTACCACAACATAAGATTCAATTACTAATGCACATCGAACTGACTCGAAGTCCTCAAGGAATTAAGTGTTATAAAAACGCCATAGTGATTCTCTTACGTGCAACGAACAAAGAAATACTATTTAATATGTATTATATATAATTGATAAAGTTCTGATTATTGCAAAGCTGTTTAATATAAATTATTCATAGTGTTATTTGAATGTTTTAGAAAACATGGAGTGACTCAGGCCACGTGATCGGGACACGTGACAAAAGAAAAAGTAACAACAAAAGAAAAGTATGAAATGTAGCCGAAGACATATATATAATAATTTGTTAAGAACAATCCTCACTATCAAATATTATTAGTTGAATATTTCATTAATCACCGATAAACTAACGCCATCTTTTATAACTATTGCAAATTATTTTTAAACTATTCCAAATTCAAAGCTCTACATATAGGTCGAATTTTTTTTTTAATAATTTTATTTATTATATTCATAGAGGTTCTATATGAACTTTATGAAACAAAACTATTATATACAATAAAAATAATTTACAAAAGAAAAACAAATATAATATGCATTAATAAAATTCTGTGATATCAATAGTAATATAAAAACACTAAAATAAATGTAACATAACGTAGAGTAACGTGTAAAATAACAATAAAATTATAGGAAATGTGAAAAATATAGTTATTTGTTTCATAGATGACGTGTAACATACAGACGGACACTCACCTACGGTCAGAGCGTATGGTCGTTTCCGTGGGGCGCGCCTAGCTGCAGCATAGACCTGCACAGTTCCGTGATCTCTGGATGATTCAGGTTTATTAGGTGGACGTACATCTGCTTGTGAAGGCTCAATTCACCCGTCACAGCTTCAAGCCTCTTTAACAAAGCCTCCTTTTCTCTCAGTAGAGTTTTCACCTTTTCTTCCACCTCCCTAGACCTGACCTTGGCTTTTTCTCGTGATTTTCGTACCGCGATGTTATTGCGTTCCCTTCGTCTCCTGTACTCGTCTGTTCCTTTGTCAAGAACTTTGCCTGACGACCTCCTGGCGGGCGCTGGCTTGTGTTTCAACATAGGCGGCAGGAGAGGAGCTCCTAAAGGTGGTAGCGGCGTGAACCCTCCGCCGTAGGGACCGCTCACACCGACTGGAGGTTGAGGGTTATATTGACCGGTATATTGAGCACACGACACAGATCTTCTGAAGTCGTGAGGCTCAGGGGGCTCTTCCTTAATTGGTGGCGCCTGTTCGTGGTTGTTGTTAGGGACGGGCGCCACGTATGAAGCTCCCGAGTGCACAGGCTGTGGCATATACGCCAGGGTGCGCGGGAAGGACCTTTGTTGAGGCGATCTAGCCCCGGGTAAGATCTCCTGGAACAACGCCATGGTCTCCTCCCCACGGAACTGATCTTCAATGAGATGCTGTAAATCCAGGCTGATCTCCTGGCCGTTGAGCTCGTCCAAGTCAGGAGGCGGGAAGGCATTCCGTTTGTCTTCATTATTCTTCTTGAGGTCGGGCTGCGGTGGCGGTTGAGGCGCCGCTGCCTGGTCGTACATCTGCGGGGACTCCATCCCGCCGGGGCCGTGGGGCCCAGCGGTACCTGTACGGTTCTCCACTTCACAGTCCTCTGTCACAGCACAAGCACTCCGCGGCACGTGCGTTCGCTCCGGCGGCCGGCAGCTGACTGGCGTGGCGCGCGCGCAAGCCTGCCCGGAAGGAAGCTGCTGTGGAACTTCGCGAGTAAAAGTCTCCGGGCCCGGGCCTGAGCCTGAATGAGGCCCGGGCCTGTGCTCTTTGTAATAATATCGTTTACTTTAATACCAATCACTGATTTGACCTAGTATATATTTAGCGGCTACAGGTCAATATTTCTTTAATTATATATTTTTAATATTTAAGTTTTCTTAATAAAAAAAATATAATTTTAATATTGTTTATTCATTATTCTATATATATAATATTTACTATAAGATGACAAATAAAAAAGCATATATAAAAAAGACGTAGTCAATACAAAGAAATAGATAAGCGTTATCAGTGACGCTATCATCACGACTCATGATTACAGATACGAGATGCAGCACGGACTGTGATAAGGTTTACGTAACGTGATATAGAACTTACTGTACAACTGAAAGTTTGTACGTAATTACGTATCATGATATACACTGGAATAGTACTTAGGTACTTATGTTTTAAACACGATGACGAAAAATTATTTCCTTAATATAAAAAAATATATTTAAAATTACTTTACTATTAATATATCAAAAATATTCGTTAAATATGTTTAACATGATTTAAATAATTAATTCTCAATCACTCTGTATATATCTGTTCTGAAAAATATAATGTAATCTAAGACTTTCGGATATTCATTTAAATGAAACTAATATTTTCATACTACGAGTATTTTATTATTAAAAGAACTACATACTACTATATTATATACTACGAAAATATTAGTTTAACTAAAATAACTTCATCATTTCTAATCATAATTTGTAACTCAATACATATTTTTCGATCTCCCAAACATTAAGTTTGAAGAATGTGTAGTACACGACAAATATATACAATAACTTGTATTAATTTATATTTAATATAAAGCTTACATAAATAAAAGTAATATTTTTCGTATTTTACTAGTTTTTAATTATTTTAACTACATAATATATACGTTTCAGTTACTTTGAAATCGTGAACACAAATACGATATGAAAAACTTGTAGATTCGAAAATATTCATTTCTATTTATATGAATATTAATTAATAATTATACTTTGAAATATTGATAAAGTATTAATTACGTTTTAAATTAAATTAAAATCATATATATGACGTATTTCATAAAACTGTATTTTATACTAACTCAAATGTCTTCAAATATGTCTTAAATATAATATTTGAGAAGTTTGAAGATACTTTTTAAAGGTAAAAATATTAAAATATTCCATTAATATTACCGATTAATATAAAGATATTAATATAATTATATTAATCGGTAATTATATTAATCTCTTTTATAATAAAAAATATCAATCGGTTCATATTTACCTTATTTTGAATAAAAAAAAAGATTATAAATGACGTCAAAACTTTAAAACATTAATAATTAAAAATTACGCCGAATAATTATTAATTCATTATAATTATATATGACTTATATTTTTAATTAGATGATTATTAATTGAGAAGTATATAATGACGGTTGTATTCAACAGGTATATATAATAATTAGGGGAGTTTTTAATATCGGTTCAGATAAGAATATAAATAATACTAAGTTCTGCACGCAGCTTCACCTGTATCCTTAGTCCGGGTTTGCATACTACGTACGTAGCGTTAATAGTATTTCATTCATAAATATTCTCATAGTATTAACGTAGTATTGAATGAGAAACGGGAAAACTTTCGTGTGTTCTGTCGATGCGAACTTTTGGTAATCATATAGTTCTTAATATTTATGTAATTTCCTTTACTATTTATATTTTATTGTATTTTTAAAGATAGATATTAAATTAATGGCTCGAAAAAGTTTAAGCAGTTATGTCGAAAAATTTAAGAGATAATTATGATTCAATTGTGTCTTATTTATTTTGATATTAAATATTATATTTATAACATGAAAAATGAAATTTTGTTCTTAATGCCAAACAAAAAATATTCTTCAAAGAAAATTCAATATGGATTTCATGTTTTGATATTGTTTTGAAACATCAAAAATAAAATATATATCTTCTGTTTTTTAATTTATCTTAATGTTTGTATGGAAATAATTTTAAACGCTTTTTAATAAGGGAGAGTTACATGTTTATCGATAAATACTACTTATAAAAATATATATATTACATTGCAACATTATTAAAATTATTTAACAATGGCAACACTAAACGTCATTTTTAATATATACGGCTCAAAAGGACTCGTATTGAGAGCCTTTAAAACATTTACAAAAATATACGTATATATATATGTATACAATTAAATTTTGGTAATAAACCTATTATTATAATTTAATATACTTTAAGAATTTTTTAAATATATATACTTAATACATCGATTTAAAGGAATTTATTATAACAGACCTTTAAATCTATCAGAGAGTCGCGTTGATAGTATGTGTATTTTAATATAAGTTTTATTAATATATTATTACTTTGAGTTCTAGTTACGAAGTATATATATAGAAAATAATAATATAAACATTTTATTTGTTCTTTAAAGTTATATATGTGTGTCCTGTCTGTTTGTCATAGCTCTACAACACGTGTTTCCGACCCAGTACATTGAAATATATTTTTGGTAATTCAGCGTTATATGATATCACTGTAAGCGGTCTTATTATACATTATATGTATTTTATTATACAAATATCTTCTTCTGCCTGGCAATTACCCAGCTTTAGCCAGGGTCTGCCTTGCATGTTGTAAATAGTTTTTATGACCGGCCGCCTGCCTGACATCAACCCTCTTTGGGAATGCATTAATCAGTGATGTCTAAATACTCTCAGAAAGTACATATGACTCGGAAAAATCACATTGGTACTTGCCCGGATCGAACCCAATGTGGTAGTGTGAAAATTACACATCCTACTAATATTATAATTGCGAAAGTTTGTGAGTGTGTGTGTATGTTTGTTACTTCCTCACGCTCAAACGGCTGAACCGATTTTGATAAAATTTTGTATACAGGAAGCTGACGTCCAGGAATAACACATAGGCTACTTTACATCCCGGAAATCAGCGGGTAACACCGCGGAGCGCAGCCAGTATATATATACAGTCATACAAATTAAAATAGGACCAAGTGTATATCTGTTAGAAGAGGTTTTTAAGAGCCTGATGATTTAAATAATCCTCAAAAAACCTGATGATTAGACAATCGAAAACCAGAAACTATATTCCCAAGAAAATCATCATAATAATCTATCAAGTGATGATAAAAACTCTGACAAGAATATTACGACCAAGAAGAAGAAGTTTATATCCTTAGAGGAATATAAAGTCTTTCAGATTGGATAACAATCAAATTTTACTTCATATAAAACGTGGTTAGTAAAGAATTTTAGTTAAATAGGTAAGAAAATAAGAAAAATTAGGACTTACAAATAATGAAAACAGTGCACAGAATAAAAATAACAGCCATAAGTTAGTAAGACAGATTATAAAAATAATATTGAATATCATTCAGCCTACATTAATCTGATAAAGATTTTAATTAAAATAATGAGTAGTCATATGTTTAAGTTATAAAATAATTGTTATAGTGGAGTTAGTAAATATTATATTTGATAGTTTTTTCACTTTCAAAGTAATAAATGTTTTTTTCTACATTTATAATTTTACTATACTATAAGCTGTTTTTGTTAAAACCTTTCCTTTGCGTAATTAAATTGAATTAAAAAAAATATTTATTCATAAAAAACTATATAAATTTAAATAAAGTCGAGCATTCAAAACGATTAAAAATTAAAATGCTCGATTATGTAATAATCATTATATTTAATGTTGTAATTAAATTAATACTTCCATTAATATCATTAACTAACTTTAATATAGAACATTTTTATTATTAATACATCAGTTTCTTTAAACAAGTGTAATATTAATTTATTTCACTAATTCGTAGTAAAATAAGTATAGTTGTGGTAATTAGAAAATTTAATTTAAAATTATCTAAAACACATGACTAATAAACATCAAAAGAACAAAAAGAGTTTGAATACAAAATAATTTAATTTAAATACCAAATGAACATCAATCTGGTTCAATGGAACGTTCGTTATCATTTAAATTTCGAATGTTTTTTAAAAATCGAATACAGTTACATAATTCAGTGAAATAGAAATGTTCCGGCCAATAGGAAGCGATTAATGAGTGTTCCAAATTCAAATTGCATATAGGTTTGTGTGGCGATTACGGAACTGTGAAATGGAAAATTCAGCCAATGGCAGCAGGGTGGGGGGGAGGGGTTCCAAATTTGAATGGATTTGAATTTAGAATACTCCGTCGTAGGTTTAATTAAAAAGTGCAAAAGAAGCAGTAACGGCCCGCTGGTGGGGTTGCGGTGAACGGGTGTGATGCAATGCGCCGGCGCTATGTAGTCGTGACATCGAGGATTGGCTGTTGGTATAACATTAACATCTATTATATCTACACATTGTTTATTATCAATTACTTTTTTAATAAAATATAATTTATTTTATAATTATTATAATCTATAATATTAATTCAATATGTTAAATACCTATAATAATACAACTATTTGAAGCTAAAAAAAATAATTATTAAATTCAAGAAAAGTGATTTCTATATGAATATATAGAATGATTAGTACATAAAGTATTATTTGTTCTAAAATATTGGTGTTATTGGTCAAACGTCCAATCCACGATGTCAGCACGTCTCAGTCAGTGGGTAAGTAGGCGAGCGACAGCAGAAAGTGGTTGTGATGCAACCGCGCCGGTAACCCAGTCACCGACACGCAATGGAACAGACCTGGAGATCTGGACACCTGGACACATGGACATATGGACACTTGGACACATTTAGACCTGTAATGATAACTTGTCAGACACATAATGAGATCTAAGATTTTCGCGAGTATTCATTTAAATGAAACTCATATTATTCGGATTACTACGCGTATTTAATTATGTTTAAAAACTACATAGTCCCGACGTTTCGGTTACTTTACAGCAACCGTGATCACCGACAGACGAGATGTGTTAGAAACAGCTAATATACTTTGAAGAAAATCAGAGAACATAATAAAATTATAATAAATTTA